CTCTCTCTCTCTCTCTCTCTCCCATGACCACTATCAAAGAGAAAAACAGGCTAAGGAAACAAAGAGAGAAAGCCAGGACTAAAAATACTTTATAATATTATCGAGTAAATTGCCCACCCATGCACGAGTTTGCATCCCGATCGAGTGAGAGATGAATAGACTTAGGTTTCACGGGCGCTACAAAAACAAAACAAAACAAAACAGAACAGAAACAGAAAGCCAAAACTTAGACATAGCAGTAGCTTAAAATTAATACAACATCGCACAAATTGATGGTCACTAGACTCACTACCCATCAGGGATTGACGCTACATTTGTCAAAAATCACAAGTATCAATCAAAAAGTCAGTAGCAAAAGACATCTTTGGCTTTTCTTCATCTTCATTCGCACCAATCACCGTTGGTGGTTCAAATCCTCACAGCCTCACTGTCACTGTAGACACAGCTGATGATCGAAGTCGGCCAGATCATATCAGATCGGATCAGATCGGATCAGATCGGATCAGATCGGATCAGATCGGATCGCGTCGGATCGAATTGAATCAGATCAAATAGGAGCAGCTCGATCAGATCAGATCCGATCAGATCCAATTCGATCAAATCCGATCGTATCAGATCGAATTGGATAGGATTGGATCAGATCCAATCGAATTGGATAGGATCAGATCAGATCAAATCCAAATTCGATCGAATCGGATCAGATCGAATCGGATCAGAGCGAATTGGATCGGATCGGATAAGATCAGATCAGATCGGAACAGCTCAGATGAGCTCAGATCGGATCGGATCAGATTGGATCAGATCAGATCAGACCAGATGGAACGAGATCAGACAAGATCGGATCGGATCGAATCGGATCGAATCGGATTGGATCAGTAATCCCAATAACCCGCCGTCCACTTCAGGAAGGAAATCGCATTCTTGGATATGGTGCTGGAACATATGGTGGTGGTTCGAGTCCATGCACAGATGCACAAACAGCCCACAAAAAAAAAACGCATGGCATACCTTCTTCTTTTTTGTTTTTTATTTTTTGTTTCTTTTTGGCATGGCATAGCTTCTTCATCCTGCATTTTTCTCCTTTTTCATTTTCCCTTCTCTACCCCCCCCTTCTCCCCCCCCCCCCTGAAACCATCTTCATTTCAGACTTGATCATTTAAACGGTTTCAAAGTCTGCTAAACAATCTGTCAATGACACGCTTGGAAGAGACGGACACATGACCAGTTCTGTAAAGTTTAGGGGAGGGGGTAGAAATTCACCAACCGGTTCTGTAAAGTTGGTGGTTGGAAAAAAATTCTCCCAAAACAATCACGTCCACATGCCCATTCAATCCAACTGGAAAATGTCTCTGAAACTGCCTGAAATTGTCTGAAATGGTCTGCAAATGGTCTGGAAATGGTCTGAAATTTTCTCTGAGATGAGCTGAAACTGTCTAAAATTGTCCAATAAATTGTCTCATAAATTGTCTGAAATGGGAAAAAGAAAATTTCAGCAACTGTCTGAAATTGTCAGAAATTGTCTGAAATGGCCCAAATGGGTGATAGGGTCTCTGAAATTTTCAGAAACTGTCTGAAATGGTCTGAAATGCTCTGAAATGGTCTGAAATGGTCTGAAACAGTCTGAAATGGTCCGAAATTGTCTGAAATTGTCTGAAATGGCCTGTCCTGCTGTCTGAAAAGTATGCAGACAATTCCAATTTCATAAAGTTTTGAACATAGTCAATGACTCACTGGGAAAGGCATCTGCTGTCCTGGAGGATACTCCTTTAGAAGCAGCAGCGACTTGCAGAAAATGGCGATTCATCTGCTTTCCAGCATCTCTGCTAAAAACCCATCCAGATTCAGGCGCTTAATCCAATCGTCTTTGATAGTCGGACCTTGCTCCAGATGAAGCATTTATGGAGGAAAACGCGAAGCCAGAAAAGTCAAAGGGAAGGAATTTGAAGGACACAAAACTCAAAACCAGAAAAGCCAAAGGGAAGGAATTTGAAGGACACAAAACTCAAAACCAGAAAAGTCAAAGGAAGGAATTCGAAGGACACAAAACCCAAGACCAGAAAAGATGTGGGTATGTGAACTCACGACGAGAACAATGGGAGGGAGTGGAAGAAGAGTAAGACTGACGGTTTGCAAGACGTCTGCATGAACAGAAAACAAGAGATAGAGAGAGAGAGAGAGAGAGAGAGAGAGAGAGAGAGAGAGAGAGA